GTTACATGCTTCTAATAGGGGAGAGCGTAGAAAACCTACTCCCTCCTGTAAAGCCGCCCGGCCGGCTTTGGCTATACCTAAACGACCCCGTATACCCAGTGCTCCGTCCAGAGACCTTCCCATGAGTACAACTGCGCAAGCCAAGGGGCTATAATGGTACCATCCCATATCAGGTACGACCCATTCAGCCGTATAATATAAGTTTGCACCCTAAGTTAGACACAATAGATAGTGGGCCCCTGTCTTTTAAGCTAATCGTATCAGTCCTCTCCGACCTCCATAGTATCTCGGATCACCGTGTCGGTGTAGAGGGGACACCAAGGTATGCGAGCCCGTGCGGGTTCTAGTGCGAGTCGAGACTGCCTGCTAAACTTCCCACTAGTTATTGCTATAGTGCGATAGCCCACAGTTGACCCCGCTCGCGATCACTCTATCTACTAACTAAGTTAATTACTTCCAATGCATTACTCGGCCATGGGGTGTTATGTCGTTAGGGATGTGTGATTCGCGACAGGCTTTGACACTGATATATAGTGGTTGCTGGGCTCAAGGGTGCCACGAAGGTTTCCGCGACAGGACATAACCTTAATTAGCTCACAGCCACTACACAACGGCCGCAGCACTGCAGCTACTAACATCAGACACCACGAGAAAGCCCGGCAGCTTCCGCCAGGCGGACTCTCTTGAGCAGGATGTAGTGTGATGACTAGAATCCTTTATCTTCATGATCGGAGCTAGCCATCAGGCTATTACACCTAGTCAACGGAAGTTCCCAACTCGACCTCCAATGTCGATGTCGGGGCTGGGGAAGCCTAACTTGTCACCTGAAGTCTCGATATCTGGCTATTCGGTTCCTTGCATTCTTTTTCTCAATTTAACCAACCCTTATACCTGAGCTTTTAACCCTTTCTTGCGCTTCTATCCATCCTGCCGTTGTTGCGACTGGACTACTCCTGGAGTCCCCTCAACTAATTGTCTTGCCCGCCCGTGACAGGGAGGTTTCGCCTCTTCTCTTACGAGCAAACCGCCCGCGGTATCCCAGTCTTTCCTTTACTTGAAAGCTGGTTTGTTAGGTCCAGAATTACCTAACATGGGGAAAAAACGGGCCTGCGATGCCTGCCATAAAAGAAAGGTACCAACTCCCACCAAGAGCGCCGTATCCCTCATCCCACTCCAAAACTGGCGGCTCACCGTTCTCTCCCTTCTTCCCACTGCCTCCTTTTGCCCTGAAGATAAAAACCTAGGTGCCGGTACCAAGATCAAAGTCAAAGTCATTAGCTCATTCAATGCTGGGGAACAGATTCACTGTGACTCTGATACTGCAGGGGCGCAATGCGACTGGTGCATCCATCACAGTCTTAAATGCACGTACGATCGTGTTGTAAGAGGGAAAAAGGAGCCAAAGAACTCTAGGTAAGTAAAAACCTCTGACAAACTCGGACTTTCTTGCTGTACACAAAGCCTGTATTCCCGCTAACCCTTTTTGTTTTCTTTTTTCTTTACTTCTAGGCCAAGACTTACGTCAGAGAAGAAGCTGGCTGAGCGCCTTGAGCGTATTGAGAACGTCTTAGTAAGGGCCGTCGCCCTCAGAAACAGCATAGAGTCTAACTCCCCCACTGCTTCTGGTTCCACCACCCTGTCCCCATCGACGACAGCCCAAGTCTTCGATGAAAGTTCCTTGAGCCTTGGTGAACAGTTTGCCGCCTACGAATCAAATCATCCTTTCTATGCCACATCCCCTATTATGTTGAGCACCAGCAGCCTTTCAGATGGAGAGATGCACCTTGCAGGATGTCCTCTGGGCCACATCATCTGTCACAATGGAATACCGCTGTTCTCCGAGGAAGGTCAAGCGTGGGTTTTCTCCCGAACTGGCGAGGCAACAGCATTTCAGAAACTGAAAGCCTTCGACAAGCGCCAGCAAGTTCAACCACCCAGCTTGTCACTCTCGTACCTCCATGGTTCTCTCGAGCAGCTATATGAGTTACCAGACAGGAGCATCGTTGAACAGGGGATATATTGGTTCCAGAATTCTGCATTCAGACTGGTATTCCCTGCAATTGACACTGTCCTATTCCGAGACACTGTCGCAATGGCCTATGAGCCCTGCGAGGGACAGCTGTCTCTAGAACGCATTAGCGCTAAAGGCTGTGTCCTGGCCTTCCTCGCCATCATGTGCATTTTCAACGGGGACTCGACGTGGCGCCCCATTGTGGATAGCGATGAATGTGCTGTCAAAGCGCACTATTTACTATCTGATATGGTCGAGAACGCGAATATCGTGACCCTCCAGACTGTCTTTATGCTGGTAAGTATCGGATCCCTGTCAAGCATAGGTTGACTGGCTAATAGCTTATTCTACGTTAACAGCACATGCATCAAATATTTTCTGGTCGCTTATACTCTGCTGCTATGCTACATGCAATTGCTTGCCGCATGGTTTTCAGGCTTGGTGGACATATGCAGACAAATATCAAGCCCTACGGAGCAGAAGTTAGTCGGCGGGAGCGAGAGGTGCGCCACCTCCGCACCATCTTCTGGCTCTGCTATATCTTCGATCAGGACACGGCGTTACGGACTGGCCAACCCCCCATCATGTGCCAAGAGCACTGCGACCTCACTCTGCCGGATAGATATCTGGAAAATTGCTTTTGTCGTCCAGCCTTGAGCGACGGCATATTGTCCCTTTCATTTGCGGACGAGAGCCTGTTTCCATATCTTCCGGGAGACTTACGTCTTGGTCAATTAAAGGGAAAAACCTTTCGACTACTCTACTCTGCTCAGGCCCTCGGGAAGTCCGACACAGAACTCCTCCATGATATCCGTGAGCTGGACAGTGAGATCGAGAACTGGCGGTTATCTATTCCACTCAAATTTCGACCTGCGCTCTCAGTTTCTCGACATCCACAGTTTGCACCAGAAATTAAATTGCCACAGAGCATGCAGCACATCGTTTTGCACCTGGAGTACCATCATCTCATGGCCACGATTCACCAAGCAAGTGGCAGATGCTGCCCTGTCAGTCCAGGTGCGAGCTTTCATGAAGGTGACAGAAGCGGCGCTATTGACTCAAGCCTAGCGCTGGCTTTAGAGGCGAGTCGATCGACACTGTATTATCTTCAAGCAGCGGTTGATGGGCTTGCAGGTGAAGCTTTTTGGTAAGTGAAACGCACCTCGATTCTGTTACTTTTCCCCTGCTTCATTCTCCTTTGAGACGATCAGGACGAGGCAGTTGAGCCTACCCAATGGTCCACAAGCGCATTCTAACGGTCAGTCCTCAGGATTATTGTCTTCTATCCCACAGCTGCAATGATCGCTCTATTCTTCAATGTCCTACAGAACCCGGAAGATATGCAAGCGACACTAGATCTGGAGCTACTTCGCTCCGCAGCAGATCTCATCAGAAGAATGCCAATACGGAGGCTAACAGAATACGAAATTGAACACTTCAAGATGGTAGATGATTTCATAGCAGAGCTGGTACGGCTGGGTATTTGTGCGATTTCCAAAGCAAAAGGTGAATTGGAACGAGAAAGTGAGACGTGGGTACCAAATGAACATGAAGTTGAAACATGAAATAAGGACCTAAGATTGGGATATAAAAAGGAATCATAGTATGGATTAAACCTTCTATTCCCTAACCTATAAGTAGCTTGCTTATAGTGTATTTCTATGCTTTTCAGTACGGCTTTGGAAATCTTGAGTGCTGTAGTTGGATGCCACGAATCGTGGGATGAACAATTTGGAAAGACCGCAGCTTTGTGATTTTGGACGAAAGTCCCTTACCCGCTTTCTCGCTGTATCCCCTTTTGCATGGCTCCTCTTGCAGCTCAATCCTTGGCTTGTAAATATACTTAACCACAATGCAAGCCCCGGTGACCGGCTGGTTAACTATTAACTTCACCTCGCGCGAGCTAGTTGGCTGTTGGTAGCGAGTGGCAAGTATATGTGGGCGGCTCAGGTGGGGACTGGTTAGGCAAGCCCTTAGGAACTGTCATGAATGAATGGCATTTATTTTGCCTATGAGGATTAACCTCAACCTCGTAGGGTTAGGTGCGCTAGGCTATTTACGGTCCATAAGTTTAATCGTTTCGCATCTCCTAGAAGCCCTGTATTCTTTCTTATCTACTTGTATGTCTCTCCTCGGTTGCTTCTATGTGATAGGCCTGCTTAAGTGGTATTATCTCCACGAGCTTAGCAACTTATACTTAGCAGCTAGAGCATAGTTAGCCAACTTAAGTCTATTTCGTATTAGTATCGCTAGATTTAACCGCTAATTACTATTATTTAATAAGTTATCTAGTCTAGTTTGCATCCAACTCTCCTTGTATCTTTGGCGAACCTAGTTGCCGCCTGTACTACCTGTAGGTTAGGTGCCGATTTTGGGCTATCTTATACGGCATTTCCTTCGGGAAAGGACGAGATATTTCCAATCATGCTTGTCCAACTAGCCACATGCCTTCTCGCTGGGCGTCCTATTTCGTAAACCGGAATTGCTAAGACCCTATGACTAAGATTGTCCGATCTGCTGGTGGCTGGGACGTGGATAATATGTAAGGAGCTCTGCTTCTCAGGCAAATGTAACTTAGACCCTTCAACAACACCTTCGACTCCTGCAGTATTGCTTTAAAGAAAAGTTTACTAGGAAGTGGGGACTCGATCTCGTCTTCCTCGACCTTTCTCCCATGTTTTCCCCATTCATCCTCAAGAAATTTTACAGCCAGCTGGAAGTCAAGCAAAATCTTCGAGGCGCCCACAAGTACACACACCGTTCTAGATCCTGGTGAAATGAGTCACCCCCAAATGAGAATTCGTATATCGTCCACGCCTCGCTGGTAACCTAGTCTTAATTACTAAATAGCTAGATTTACTCCCGATTAGTATGGTACGGAGGCCGCCGGCAGGGTGCCAAACAATCAGCTCAACGGAGATCAATTATGAATGGCACCAGTCAGTAAGTGAGAATTATCTTAGGAACAAAAGAAATTGAACAGCCATGTGTTCGGGCACGGATATCTAAGCTATGATGTTAGGACTGAAGTCCTTGATACAAAAAGCCGGATGTGAAACGGGAATCACGGCTCCAAGTACAGACCGCGTTTCATATCCAGTCGCACAAACCGCGTGGTGGTATGCGACATACATATAAGGAGGCATCGTTACCAACCCACTGGCTAAGTTCGCTGTAATGGATATGCATCCGCTAGAATCCCATCTCTCCGCAACAAGCTCTTTACTCCCTAGCGGATGATTCAAGTGAGAATAGGAGAATAAGTTTACTACCTTTGACAAAATATAAGAATAGAGGTCCTCACTTCGCCTCGACCGTGTGTAACGCCCGTTTCAGCCTGCTCTCCATCGGCTCATACGGCTCATTCGCCTCTTCTCGCGCCATGTCGTTGATCCAGCGCTCATTTGGCTGAATGCTTCTTCCTTTGGACAATTCAGAAGCCAGATACAGCCACGAGAGCAAGTTCCCTACTGTGCCTACTTCATCGCTGACGTTCGTGGACGCGAACTCACTCATACGATCGTAGAGCTTTTGGTCAGTCCAGAGTTGGAACAGATGGCCAGCTACAGCATCTGTATCGCTCACGTCTACGAGGAACCCGTTCTTGCCGTGCTGGATCTGCAGTGGGATTCCACCGGCCAGCGTCGCAATCACGGGTTTGCCCTTATGCAGAGCCTCCGACACCTTGATCTCAAAACCCTCACGGGTTGAGAGCTGCAGGACAATTTTCGCCTTGGACAATAGTGCGTTAAGCATCTGATCGCTCGGACCAATACGCACGATGCAGATGAGGTGCTTGAGATGATTGAGATGATGGTTGACATACTCTAGGGCGGTGTCATAGACAATGGTGCCGTCTGGATCATCAACTGACCCATGTCCGCAGATGAGCAGTTTGGGCGGTCTCCAGTCGGGAAGGGAAATGCAGAGGAGGTTGTGGAACTTTTCGTATGAGACGAGCACGTCAAGTATTCCTTTGGAAGGGTCGAACCGCGCAATTTGGGCGATATATTCCTCTGGGGTTGAGTGAAAGGTCAGAGCCACTCATAAAAGGCATCAAGGGAACAATCTCAGAGGTCCTTACCTTCTGGGAACTGAATTGTGGGCATGTACTGCTCTCGGCATTGGGAATTGAAGATTCGCCCATAGTAGGAGATTTCCCAGTCATTCATAGGTTTGGTCAATCCGTCTAACCTAATAATGGGTGAGCTAACAATCACAAGAGTGCCCAGAGGTGCATCTCACCAGTCAGTTGACGCAGGCATGTATCCAACCGTCGACAAGGGAACGTTCTTTGGCACAAACGCACGCACAGGGTGGCTGATGAAGAGATCCGCTTGCTTGATGGACTCCCACAAAAGTTCCCAAGCCTCCGCCTGTGGAGTGCCCGGCGTGGCGACGAGATCGCTTCTAATCTGGATATGACTTCGGTAAATGACCGGTCTGTCTGGCGTGCGCTTTTTGATCATAGGGATCAAGAATGGCAACTGAGGGTCATCTATGATGATTATGTGGGCACCACCATCGATAGGATGAACCAGGGGGCCATTTCTCTGGAACCAGGGAAGTATTGGCAACTGAGGAAGTAGCGAGGCGTGCTTTTCCAACCACTCGGGAGCTGGAGGTCCGGCTCTCTTGAACCAGAAGCGGTCTGCATTCTCGTGGACCCAATCGCGAACAGCATCCCTTTCTTCCGAAGTGAAACACACGCCCGGGGGGCTACACCTTGAAGTATATTGTGGTTGTTCTTGGTGATGCGGAAAACGCCAGGCCTAGGTTTCGGGACATACCTACATAGCAATGAGAACAACAGTGTACGGCATAATATAAGCTCGCCGCAAACGAGCGGACCTGGGAGCGAACTTACCATTCCAAATCCACTCCGAGTACTTTTGCAAGCCGAACAAGGGCATGGCGCATCAGGGCAACACCGCCACCCTGCGGGGTGGCGCTGAAGAAGGCTATCTTCACGCGCCGTTTTTTGAGGTCGTTGGCAAACTTGTTGACCGCGGACCAAGTTGCCGACCCCACCGTCTTCTGGTAATCCAAGAGTCTCGTCAACTTGACGTGGAACGCAGCGTCGACTTCAACAACGCCCCGGCTGCCAATCTCTAGGGCTGGGGCTTGGCTGGGGCCAAAGAACCTACAACCAGTGAGAAGAGAGCAATTACTATGTTTAAGACGAGGGATGCTACTACTTGCCTTATACACTTTCTTGCCATTGACTCAGCCTGTTCGTCCAGCGATTTGAACGGCAATTGTTCATCGTAGGAACCCCAACTAACCTTCTCCTCCACCTTCCGAAGTACGATGGGTATGATGTCCAGCTCAAGCCAAAGACGAGCACACAAGTCAGGACACCGTTCAGCCAAGTCAGTCGACATGGCCAAGCCGATGAACTTCTCAGCATGGTCATGCTGATATCCTCTCGCTGTCACGATGATATGATCCGTAATCGCTGACCAATCTGGATGCAGGTTGCCGGAGGATATATCATGCTGCGCGTAGTCTAGCATGTATGAGCTGTCACGAACAGCGACGGCGATTGTGACTCTCCTATTGGTGAAGTGGTAACTAAGAGCAATGCCGGCGTATATGGCCTGTCAGAGTAAGTCAGTGAGATGCTCGTGCTTAATTTTTGTTTTCACCAGTGCCAATGGGCCAGTGTCATACATGGTATGGTGTCCCATCCCAGGTGTACTCTCCGAGGTCGCTTTTCAGCTGGCGTATCTGGTGTGCAGACGGCCGTCGCTGGAAGGTTTCGCAAGCGATAGGAGGAGCTGTGAGTGCTGACTGGTCATCCGCGCTCTGGTCACTGGGGTCCATGCTTAAATAATATAGCGGGCTATAAATCTTAAGTGCATAACATAGGTGGTTTCCAGGTAGTATACTCAGAGGCTTGGGCTTTGTCAAGATATATAGTAAAATATCCTGGCAATTTCTCCTTGTATTATTGGCTTTCTGATTCCACCATATGATTGGTTTCAAACTCTTTCGTGGCAGAATCGATGATAACTCTGATCTAAGTCTAAAATAGTGAACTGACGCCTCTGCAGTAGCATATGATCGGAGCGGAGGTCTCCCAGAAGTTGAAGTTTTGTTGACGAACAAACGTCTTCAACAGTCAAAAAGCTTGTCAGCGGGGATGGAGGCGTAATGGAACCCCCTCTGTGCTCGGCAGTGAACATATGAACGCCACGCTGACGGAGGAGTGGCATGACAGGCTGGTGGCACGATAGTGGGGTGATATAGCAGTAGGATGTCATCACCATTACACATCCCCCTTTGCTAAAACCACGTAGCCTAATTTTCCCACCTGTATTTTTATCTCCTCTCCTAGCGTTGGTATTTGTAGCCACCCCACGAGGGTCAACGACGAGGGGTTCAGGTTGAGTGAAAGGCGCCAAATGAACCGCATATTTTCCCATCCTAACTTGTATGGTCATAAACTCCAGCATTTTTTGGTTGCTACACACTGCAACCTAACATGATTTTGCAGTCGTACACAGTTTGCCTTCCTGAAGGGCCTTCTCTTATTGCCGCTGACACCTCACTTGAATAAACCTCCGGACCTCATAGCGGAGGCTTCAAGCAGCCCATAGGACAGCTCCAAGCAGCCGGACGGAAATGTAACTTCTTGTTATTATAAAGACCTTGAATGGCAAGAATAATATTTGACTCGTTGACTGATTGGTGCATGTTTTGTGGATAGGGAAACATAAATTAAATAAAGAGAGGCAAAGTGTCTTTTGGATATGTTGGCTTTACGGGGCGGGCTTAGAATCTCTTCCGAACTTTTATATGCCGGACAACGACCTCGAATACCTCGGAGTAATCTATGACCTCTACTTCCAACTGACTGTACCCGCTCCCTCTAAAATGGCATTTAGCGGTTTTGTGCATTATATCATACCTGTTCTCGTCCTTAGGGAACTTACCCGTGCAATAATTGTCTTCGGCCTCCTCAGCCGCCTTACTTACCTCGCCATTATTACTGGGGCGAGCGCCGGTGGACGGATCATCTACACCATGGTTGTCGCAGGCATCGCACTGTGTGTTCCATCTTTCTTTGCTCGCTCTTCGAAACTCTTTTCTTGAGCTTCTTGTTTAACCACTTATTATTTGTATTATGAATTATGACATTTTGTCTGCTCGAGTCTGTATGCCCCTCCTTCCCTTTATCATCATATTCCTTATGGGCAGACTACTAGCGGACCGCCTCTGCGCGCTAGTATTATGACTATTGGGGATAGTACTGGGGCTAGTACTTGTACTGTGTCTGGCGTGTCGTTGCCTTTTCGTTCATTGCCTGCGGCATTCGTACTCGGCGCCGTGTTCCCGCTTATCAATCCTTTTTGTCTCTCGTTCCCATTACCAAGGATCCCTATTCGCAGGAAACGCCCGGGAGATCTTCCACTCAGACACTTATCGTGAACACGAAAGCGACACCTTTGGCCCATCGCCAGTATAGGCTATTTTTGGTGCTGGCCGGCTGCATTGCGTGGGCTCACACCATGGCCTCAGATCATATTTTGACAGTCCCCCTTTAACTTTGAATACCTTTATCACGGGCCACGAGACAGCGGTCACAGAATCCACACGCCACTTACCCGTACAAGCATCAGAGATACCCCTGTCGGGCACCTTTCACTACATGAAGACAGATGTCAACTTCGCTGCCTAGCTATTCAACCTGTACATGACAAGCTTGTCATATCATCGCTTCGCAGCGAATTAGAGACACTGCCAGGCATGCCTAGTACCGAGGCGCCCGAAGAGGCTCTTTGCGAATGGCTAACATGAGTGCGCGGTAACAATTGTTCCACGCATTGGGCTTCTTAATTTGACGCCCCATGTATGATTTCAGTACAGTTGCTAGAGGAGGTGCAGATGCACAGATGTTCATAGTGGAAGCTCGCCGAAAGCCAAGTATGCAAGGTGTTGTTTACATACAAGAAACTTTTCACTAGCCTTATTACATCCGAGTTGAGAAGAGCCTATTGCTACTGATATTTATCCTATGTCCCCCCAATTCGATGGCTATCTAATTCTCACAATTAAACATCCTTATGGATTTTTGCATGGATGCTTCTTGATATAATAACATTTCAGATACTCAATTGCCTTGAAATCTCTTCAAGATGACTTCATCTCAGGTGGACGGCGATGATATCAGGCTAGCGACTTCACAAGTCAATGTTAGGCACTCTGAAGAGATGCTGAACTACTCCGACGATGCATCATCTCATAATTCTGAAGGGCCCTCTAATTCCAAGGAGGGAGGAAGCAATTCCCGAAGCCCCGATTCTAAGATTTCCATCTCAAAGGCACGTCCAGGATTTCACCGGGCAGAAACCAGGTCTGTGATTGAGGACAGCGACAAAAACGAGATTTTTCGAATTGCGACGGCGCTTTCCGGTCGCCATTTCGTCTCCACTGCCGGTGAGGACCCGTCTCGCGTCCACACTCTCATTACTCATGACGAAGACTCCCCGGCCTTGGACCCGCAAAGCGATGAATTCAGTTTGGAGAAGTGGCTCCAGAATTTTGTGAAGACACTTCGCGAGCAGAACATCACGGCGAAGCAGACTGGTGTGGCGTTCAAGGACCTCAATATCACAGGCACGGGAGCTGCAGTCCAGGTCCAAGAGACGGTTGCATCGATTCTGCTAGCTCCTCTACGACCCGGCGAGTTTTTCAGCTTCGGAAAGAAGGAACACAAGCAGATTCTCAGAAACTTTGATGGACTGCTTAAAAGTGGTGAGCTTCTGATTGTGCTGGGTAGACCGGGATCCGGATGCAGCACTCTTCTCAAGTCGCTTTGCGGAGAGCTCTATGGTTTGAGTGTGGATGAAAAATCCATAATTCATTACGATGGAATCCCTCAGAAACTTATGAAGAAGGAGTTTAAGGGCGAAGCCATCTACAATCAAGAGGTAAGAGAAGTCGGCAGTCAACATTGTGAGGTGATGCTAACTTGGACGTACAGGTTGACCGACACTTCCCTCACCTCACGGTTGGCCAGACCTTGGAGTTTGCCGCCTCTGTTCGGACGCCATCTCAACGAATTAACAACATGAACCGCGAGGACTTTGTACAATATGTCGCCAAGGTTGTCATGGCCGCGTTTGGTCTCAGCCATACCTACAACACCAAAGTGGGCAATGACTTCATCCGTGGTGTCTCCGGTGGAGAGAGAAAGCGAGTATCTCTCGCGGAGATGGTCCTTTCCGGTTCGCCTTTCTCTGCTTGGGATAATAGCACTCGTGGTCTCGACTCAGCTACTGCCCTTAAGTTCGTCTCTGCATTGAGAATGGCTGCCGACATAGGCCGGCGTGCTAATGCTGTGGCAATCTACCAAGCCAGTCAAGCTATATATGATCTTTTCGATAAGGCCATCGTGCTCTATGAGGGCCGGCAGATCTACTTTGGCCCAGCAGAGCATGCCAAAGACTTTTTCGAGAGGCAGGGTTGGTATTGTCCCCCACGGCAAACCACTGGCGACTTTCTTACATCGGTCACCAACCCAATCGAGAGAAAGGCACGATCTGGGATGGAAAACCAGGTCCCGCGAACTCCAGATGAGTTTGAGCAATATTGGCGTAAGTCGCCTGAGTACTGCGTGCTGAAGCAGGATATCGAGGCGTACGAGGTTGAGTACATGGTTGAACGTCAGGGAGAGAGTGTCGCCCAACTTCGCGAGGTCAAAAACATGCAGCAGTCCAAACACGCTCGACCCAAATCCCCGTACACTCTCAGCATCCTGATGCAGGTCAAGCTCTGCACGAAGCGGGCCTATCAACGCATTTGGAATGACCTCTCAGCAACTGCAACACAATGTTTCGTGCTGCTCGTCATGGCTCTTATCATTGGATCCATCTTCTATGGAACGCCCGATGCAACTGCTGGATTCTATGCCAAAGGCTCTGTTTTATTTATGGCTGTTCTTCTTAATGCGTTAACGGCCATTTCAGAAATCAGCGGTCTTTATGCTCAGCGACCGATCGTAGAGAAACATGCTTCATTTGCTTTTTACCATCCTGCTTGTGAGGCTGCCGCTGGCATCGTGGCCGATATACCGATTAAATTTGCTACTGCGTCTGTCTTTAACATTGTGCTCTACTTTATGGCTGGATTGCAACGAAAGCCAGGCAATTTCTTCCTCTACTTCCTGATTACTTACATATCTATGTTTATTATGAGCGCTGTCTTCCGCACGATGGCAGCCATCACGAAGACGGTCTCCCAGGCTATGACCTTATCGGGAGTCATGGTCCTCGCCCTTGTTGTCTATGTCGGATTCACCATTCCCCCTCCAGAGATGAAGGTTTGGTTCTCCTGGATCCGGTGGATCAATCCAATCTATTATGCCTTCGAAATTCTTGTTGCCAATGAATTCCACGGTCGTCAATTTGTCTGCTCTAGTATCATCCCACCTTATACGCCTCTTGTCGGAAATTCGTGGATTTGCGCTGCTACTGGCGCTGTCGCTGGACAGGATTATGTGAGCGGAGATGCCTTCATTGCCGAACAATACGAGTACTACTACTCTAACGTGTGGAGGAACTTTGGTATTCTTTGGGCTTTTCTTATCGGTTTAATGGCTATCTACTTTGTCGCCATCGAACTCAATTCCTCAACAAGCAGCACTGCTGAGGCTCTTGTCTTCCGAAGAGGTGGTGTGCCGGCTCATTTGCGCGCAGGTCAAAAGCAATCTTCGAAAGATGAAGAGACGCCAGTGGATTCAACCAACGAGGGGAGCGCCAATGGTGGAGACGTCAAGGCAATCGAACCTCAGAAGGATATCTTTACCTGGCGCAATGTTATATATGATATCGAGATCAAGAAAGAGCAAAGAAGGCTTCTGGATCGCGTCTCTGGTTGGGTCAAGCCAGGCACGTTAACTGCGCTGATGGGCGTCAGTGGTGCTGGAAAGACAACATTGCTGGATGTACTAGCGCAACGTGTGAGCATGGGCGTCATTACTGGCGACATGCTTGTGAATGGCAAGCCTTTTGATGCCAGCTTTCAGCGCAAGACGGGCTACGTGCAACAGCAAGGCATGTAAGATGACCTGGGATTATGACATCTTCTGACACATATTTAGACCTGCACCTCGAAACTGCTACTGTCCGCGAGAGTCTACAGTTTAGTGCAATGCTAAGGCAACCGAAGTCCGTTAACAAGAAGGAAAAGTACGAGTTCGTCGAAGAGGTCATCAAAATGCTCAATATGAAGGAGTATGCAGACGCCGTCGTCGGTGTTCCAGGCGAGGGTCTCAATGTCGAGCAACGAAAACTCCTGACTATTGGAGTTGAACTGGCCGCTAAGCCAAAGCTGCTTCTGTTTCTCGATGAACCGACCAGTGGTCTTGATTCACAGAGTTCTTGGGCTATCTGCTCGTTCTTACGAAAGCTGGCTGACGCTGGACAGGCTATACTGTGTACTGTCCACCAGCCAAGTGCGATTCTCTTTCAAGAATTTGATCATCTGCTCTTCCTGGCTAAGGGTGGCAAGACTGTATACTTTGGAAATATCGGATATAACTCGCAAACCATGCTAGATTATTTTGAGTCAAAGGGAGCCCGAAAGTGCGGCAAGGAAGAAAACCCGGCCGAGTATCTTCTGGAAATTGGCAACAGCGGATCCAATAGTGAGGGCAAAGATTGGCATACCGTCTGGGATGAGAGTGAAGAGCGTGCGGCCGTCGAAACCGAGATTGATAGAATTCATGGCGAGAAACAGGCTGAAAAGGTAGCGGGAGAAGACGACTCTAACTCCCGGGCCGAGTTCGCAATGCCGTTTAGGTATCAAGTTCAGGAAGTTACCTATCGAGTTTTCCAGCAGTATTGGAGGATGCCTAGTTACATCTTTGCCAAATTCATTCTAGGTATCGCTGCTGGTTTGTTTATTGGATTTTCATTTTTTAAAGCGAACGACACAATGGCCGGAGTGCAGGAGGTCATCTTCGCTGTGTTCCTACTAACAACAATCTTCTCAACTCTCGTACAGCAGGCAAGTATTAATAAAACTGGTGGTGCTCAAGAGATGTCCTAATATGATTGATAGATTCAACCGCTTTTTATTACGCAACGAGCGCTATACGAGGTTCGAGAGCGTCCGAGCAAGGCGTACTCGTGGAAGGCATTCATTACGGCTAATGTTATCGTGGAAATTCCCTTTCAGATTATTACTGGAGTTTTTATTTACGCCTGCTTTTACTACCCTGTTATGGGCATCCAAAGCTCTGCTCAGCAAGGATTAATCCTTCTCTTTACCATCCAGCTCTTTATCTATGCCAGTACCTTTGCGCATATGACCATTGCCGCTATGCCGGATGCGCAGACAGCAGCCAGTATCGTTATCCTCCTTTCTCTGATGAGCACTATCTTTAGTGGTGTACTCCAGACTCCGTCTGCTCTTCCGGGATTCTGGATTTTTATGTACCGCGTTTCGCCATTCACGTACTGGATCGGTGGCATTGTATCGACGGCGCTTCATGGTCGACAGATTACCTGTTCGGAGAAAGAGACGTCGGAATTTAACCCACCTAGCGGTTTAACCTGCGGTGAATATCTTGAACCATTTCTCAAAGAAGCTCCTGGAACGCTGCAGAACCCTAATGCCACGGAGCAATGCCGGTATTGCTCAGTAAGCACCGCCGACCAATACCTTGCAGCCTTCCAGGTCTACTGGAGTGAGCGATGGCGCAACTACGGGATCTTCTGGGCTTATATAGGGTTCAACACCATCATGGCGGTTGTCTTGTACTACGTATTCCGGGTGAGGAAGTTGGGAAAACGTTAAGGTGAGGGGTGCGGATAAGTACTAGGTTGTAACAATCTACAAAGGCAGCATATATTTGCAGTGAGGAGGAAGCAACTGGACGTAGCGAATATGATGGTTAGTTACTGTGTAGTCGCAAGCATTTATCGAAACAGGTTTAATTAAAGCTGCGCAGGAAGTTTAGCTTGAAATTGAATAGGAATTTATTAAAAATGTGATACATTTGATGAAGGACCGGGTTGAGGTATGCCAGCTTGCTAGAGGGTATTATAAGAAGTATTAATATAAATTATTAAATTCTCCTGATCCTAAACTTCAGCAGATTAGACCACCTTAGTCACACGGTCTCATAATATATGGTACCTGTTGACTCATGCCGCGGGGCGGGGCGAGCCAACTAAGCAAGCTTAGTTGGGCCCAAAACGGTGGGACGGCACAAAAGGGTGGGACAACTGAAGGGCCCGGTTTTTGGTGCTCTTTAGGGCATTTTCAGTTCTTCAACACTCTCATCAGGTCAAAAAAAGTGAAAATTGTTGGCATTATGAAATGAAGCTTCTTGTGATGATATATTTGCTATTGACTGTATATGACCGGGCGAAATGACTGCCGCGGCGCCCAAACGGCTTCTTGATTGAGAACGACTTCTCATGCATTTCTCACCTAATTGAGGGGGGTTCTTGTTCATCGTAAAGTGCCTGAGTGGCCTCCAAGGCTTCGGCTTCCTCTATTATGCGATTTATGAAGGCATCATCATATCGGGCGTGGCGTTGAGGCGGGCATGGTGTTGAGGGTATCGTTGAAAGGGGGGACTCGCGGTCGGGTAGGCAGGGCGGCGATGAGGGCATCTCGAGATCTTCTTCATCAGATAGATCGATATCTTCATCCTCATCCTCATCGGCCGGCGGTTGTGTGAGCGTAAAATCGACGGTATCATCACTGCAGAGAAGGCGTGATAAATTTGCTGACGAGAGGGGCTTATCTGCAAAGCGTGCTTTGCGAATAGCCTCACGGGCTTCCGGGGCAAGCTGGGTATCGATTATAAAGAAATCCTCCTTTTCATTTAATTGAGAAGTCATCTCAGCTCGTGAGGAGTCATATGAGGCATATTCAACATCCTTCCCGGTATGTTCAAGCCACTGTTTAAACTGTAACCTCTTCTCAATGCCGTTGACGATAACCTCCTTCTTCTTCCGCCACTCATCTTTTATCTCTCGCATCTGCCGTATCGCAAAAGATCGAAGATTCCGAAGTTGTAAGCGCTGCTGCGCCTTATCTCCTGCTTTTACAAACTCAGTATGTTGTTCTCGAAGCTCCTCCAAGCTCATATTGTGAATATAATCTCCTACCGGTCGTGCTCGCTTGCCGCGCTTTCTTTGGTGATATCTCTTCTCGATACGCGCTCGGCGATCTTCAACATGATTCCTCACGATATTCTCAAGCACAATAGCTTCATTGACGATCTTCCGGACCGATTCTAGTCCCCTGAGCGTTGGGGAGCTCAGAATATCGTGATAGCGGTTGCCGACATCTCTTGCTGTATCAGAGGCCAGAGGAAAGCGATTTTCCTGCGGTAAAAGCGAAGATAACGCCGGATCAATAGCCTTACGAGTCTTCAGCTTCTTCTTTAAAAGATAGCTAACTGCAGGCACCTCAGTGGGCGGGAAAATTCCTGACTTTTCGAAGCCTGTGATGATGTGGGCCGGCGTGAAGCCTTCATCAAAGATCTCCTGAGATAACGAGGATTAGTATGTGAAAAGCGGGGTATTTGAGAGAAGGTTGAAGCTGATTACACATACCTTGAAGGAGCCGGCAAAGTCACGGCGGTTGAAGCTCAAATTTCCCTTCCGCAAAGCATCTCGCAGCCTTTTTTGGTGTACATTCTTTAACCACTGAAAAACACCAAGATCCATCGGTTGAAGTATGTGAGTTGAATGAGGAAGAAGGTAAGCAACGAGAATATTAAATTTTATACAGTATTCTCGAAAGGCGAAAGAGCCGTGACCGGAGAAGCCGTCAATAACGAGCAACCGCCACACGAGATCCTCTTCAGCCTTTCCTTCCGTGCCGGGAGGCCTGTCATATGAAGCGGCAGCATTAGAAGAGCTTTTTAGGTGCTCGTTACACCCAAACCACGCTTCAAAATCCAGCTGACGATGTTGAACCGCTGCAGATTTCTCCCAAGACTTCCGGTTGAAGTCTCTCGCCCACTCGAGCGTTATATCGCTATTCGAGAATGCCGTATCTGACTGTGCAAACCGCATCTCGAGATCTCCTTCTATATTCGCCCACTCGAGCGTTGGAAAGGCTTTGAAGATAAGCCACGGCGGAGTGGTTTCTCCAGCGGCGTTGCCCGTACCGATCACGGTACAAGTCTCTCGATCATTAGGGGAATATACCTCTGTTGCGGTCTTCTTCTTAGTACGTACAACGAGGCATTGTATCCGCTCTCGCAGTATTCCGACTCTAATACCTGCTTGATCAGCATTCCAAATTTCCGAGGCGCCGATTCTGTATCTCGTGATAACCTCATTGAGCCGCTTGAACCACTGCTTCGTCTCCTCCACGCCGGCTTCCTCATACTCATAGCGCGCTGCTTCCTTCGCCTTCAATATCGAGGTATCAAGCTCAGGATGATCATCACGGAAGCGCTTGTACCACATCTTCCCGACCGGCTCGGTGTCAGGATCACGGCGGCTTCTTATGGTGTTAACTGCATCCACAATCTCGCCTTTGGAAGCCGGAAGACCGGACTTCTGCATCCAAATAATGAAGCACACGATAGCCTCATCTTCATCATCCGAAAGAAGTCGCGGCCGGCCGATATTTGGCTGAATAACGAGCTCATAATCAAGGGTATTCGCATCTTCAAGCCGCTTGATAATCCGAGCAATAGACGACTTCTTAGAGCCGGGATATCGTCGTTCAGCATCGCGGAGAGAGAGAGCCTTCTTTGGCCCGTTAGAAGCATCACGAGATAAGCCCTTTTGGAGTCGTTAGCGTGAAAGAACAACTGCCTAAGCAGCTTGGAGGTTAGGATCTGATGGCATAATGCACTTAGACAAAATTAGTACTTTTTTCACTAATTGGCATCCAGATTTGAGTGGAAATCACATACAAAATCGATGAAATTCGCGACAACCGGCTGTGAGGGGTTGTCCCACCCTTTTGTGCCGTCCCACCGTTTTGGGCCCAACTAAGCTTGCTTAGTTGGCTCGCCCCGCCCCGCGGCATGAGTCAACAGGTAATACTGTTCGCGCTTCTTTCAACTATATTAAAAACAACATTCAAACTTTAATACCTGCGTGATATTTAGAATTAACTTCAAATTAATTGAAATTTCCTGGTTTATATCGCCCTAACGGTGCCTATAAATACATACCCAAATAGGCTATTTTAACTACTAATACCCCTACCAGTTTGTATAACTAATTTTCCTACTTAGTCGCCCTCTCTGATTTTTAGCGCCTTTGGATTTATATGGGTAAAGTAACCAAGGGGTCTAAATTGCGGCCGTTAATAGGATCAGCAGACAGGTTACATTGGAATGAGAGAGCACCAAAGGCAAGAGAGAGGGCTGCCTGCAGCTGACGGCGTGAATGTAATTGTTTACCGGTGTGCAATTGGGACGAGCGCTGACCAGCATGGTTTCCTCGTTGAAAACGAGATGGTGGCGTGCGTAGGTGGGTGTGATGAGAATTGAAACAAATTGTGCAGTCAACTAACTCATTAGCTAAACTTTTGATTTTTTATTACAATGGTCGCTCTAGCTCAGCCACTATCTCGCCCAGTCTCATAATTTCCGTCGATTGTTACCCCGGTACAGCGCTATGTTTTAGGTTTATAACACGACAACCCTTGTCCATGAGTAAGTAGCCTTAATGAAAGTGAACCCCTCATCATGATTGCTTCAGTCGCTGCTTAAAAAGCTCTGATAGATATATGTCTCGGGAGCTACTCTATTTAATCCACTGGCAGTTTGAGGGGAGTAGGTAGATTATAATCTATAGCATATCTTAGTATAGTAAGTCTACTAGAACCTATTATAAATTAAGTAGATTAGGTAAATTAATAAATATTTTTATTCTTAATGCTATAATGCTAATATTATCCCTAAAGCCCTTTTTTATAGGTGCCTTATTTTAACTTTAAGGTTTTATCCTTAGCCTCTTATTTTAAGTGCCTATTACTAAAGTAAGCTACTTTATTACTTACCTTTCTAGCTATTAATTTAATATTTAAGTTAATTAAAGATTGAGTTTTTCTTTAGTTATTTAAATAAAAGAGGGATTTAATTTGTAAATAATACTTACCCTTAGCTATAAATATAATAGTTTTCAAAAGGGTAAATTAGCGGTCGCAATAACAGGATTGGTTAGAATAGATAGTTGAATTGAGCTGCTTACCTATTTAAGTGACGAATGAAGGTTGGTCTCTTATACTTATGTTCCATATCCCTATATCATAAGCTGCAGTCTGCAGCCTGACGCTATTTGAGGCGTCCATGATCGTGAATAAGTTTGCAATGGTTGTAATCGTTGCCTTATTCCAGCAAACGTCTCCTACAAATACTTAGAGAGAGGGATAGAACAATGCCACGACGCGATCCTTTGTCAATGAGCAGACTTGCTTTTACACTGCCGTATAACTGGCTATAGGCTAGACAAGAGGTATCCAGTGAATTATGAAACGAATGGTATTTTGGTTTTCCATTTATCAAGGTCTGAACGTTAGTTTTATACAGTTAGAGTTTGTCGTTTTTGGCAGGTGTGTTTAGCTGCTGCTGTTCAAATTGAAACTGTTATATATTTAATCCTTTAGATAGTCTCCATCTGGCATAGAAAGCCCGTATCTAGGTAATACTATTAAATAGATAACTAGAAGGCAGTATACTATATGTTAAAGTCTAATTAATTTAAGTATTATAACAGAAAGCCTCAAGCTTATTTATAGTTAAGCTATAAAGTTAGAAATAACTTTTAAAAGTTAACCTATTACCTATAATTAACATATCTATATACTACATTTATTTTTAATAAATTAAGGCCAGGGTTCTCTGTAGAAAGGCATGATTAGCTACTGGCAATTGAATGATAATAGTAATGGCAGGGAGCAACGGGAATGTCAGCTTCTAATTACAGTAACTGCATATAGCGACTTAAGCATTGGGAGACTTAAGTCGCCTCAGGATACGGTGGATCATTTGATGCATTTAACTATTCGATGCGCGTTATTCTTTGGCCAAAAACGACTTCTAAACCGCGGTAGAACTCAGCACGGGATGATGCATGTTGCCTGGAGTCTTGTTCATCACAAATTGGCCAGAGTAATGCTCTACCTCTCAATACCTCTGATACAAGCTGAGTAGATGGCGGTCAGATGCCTAGAATATCAATCGTGTAAAACATTGTGCCATATGTATTCGGTTCTTAAAGTAACTTGATGTTTTATAGTTTATTATATGTTGATGAAGCAAGCTTCAGTTCTCTAACGCACGCCTTGAAACAACATTCGGCATCGTGCACATAGCAGCGCCACCCAACACGATTGATTAGGAGCCTTATAAGGTTGCTTGCCAATTATTGAAATCCCAATTCTGTTCCAGGAAAGGTTGCCCTATCTCTTCTACATCGAAGAGGCTCAAAAACCCGTGCTCGGGGTCGATAAAGTTCAGCCAATCACCATGTAACGGGGCTTGAAAGTATTTTAGTACGGCCATCGCGTCTTTCAGTCCGAAAGTATTGTGTGAAATGAGAGCAAACTTGTCGAAGGTTACTACATTTGTTTGATCAGATATGTTGCTACCATTCCGGGGTTATTAGTCTACTTACTGATGAGAAGTCTTGGCAGATACCAGAAGGTTGCGAACTGCTCTAAGAAGAGTCGAAGAATATTTTCTTGCGCTTTTACTTTAACTAAGAAGTCCGGCGCTGGACTGCTCATACTTGTATAGTGGAGGTGAAGGACTATCAGCGCTGTGTAAATAATGAAGCAAACGGCTGGGTCGACGCTTGGCGAATGCTGGTTGTCCCACTGCCTGACGACCGCAACTATGTCCTGGCAGTGCTCCAAAGTCTTATGCCACATAATCTTTTGTTTTTCTTCGGATTTTTCTGAGTGCAGAGGTAGGCAGATAATAAGACGAGAGATATGCAAGTGAAGAACACAAATCAATCGAGTATGGTATGCACGGTGAGACTCTTCGTGCAAGGCATCGCGTGCAATATTGAGATATCGGGGTGGTAACGCCAACCGTATCTCTGCGAGATGATTGTCGAGCATTGCTAGACGGTCCCGCAGGCGGTCGCAGGGGTTTTGCCACAATAGGCGGTAGAGGGTGGTGGCTTCCCTCAGAATCGTGGTCGTTACGATGTGGAGGTTGAAGTTTACATTATGGCCATGAGATGCGATCGCCCCGACCGTCTGCCACAACAACTCTGGTTGGTTAGGGAGGAATATTGGGGGCTTGCGACCCCTCTCTCGACCTGAATTGGTAATGAGAGACGTCCTGATGCTTTCGACATGAACGACGAAAGGACTCGATGCTGTGATGTTTGAATAGGAATCGAGACAGAAGATGCACCACCAGACGTATCTCCACTCATCTTTGTCATCATCATCATCATGTTCATCACAGCGGTCGCGGTTGTCAAGCTGGTGAAGGCCGCAGTAGTAAGCTTTGCGTGTGAGGTGGCCAATTCTCAACCACGCCTTCTCCCCCGGGTGCTCATGAAACTCATAATAGGCGAGCAAGCAAGCCTGCCTAAAATCATCAAGAGACCACCGCACTGTTGATGTTCCCGAGTCTAGAGCATTCCTTTCCCGGAGATGCCGTAAGCGCTCCTCGAGGCGTAAGCCACCGCAGAGCTGGCGTTGGCCAAGTACCTTGACAGTCAGCGCAAAGATGACGAGAAGGAGGTCTTTGTTGACAGCTCCTGATTCGAATTGCCGAAAAAACTTGTCTTTGCGGAAAAGAGGCATAGATGGATGGATATGATGAAAGAAATTATTCAGTCTGGCGGACCGTCCGTCCCTGTTAACAAAAGGTCTCGATCAAAGGGGAAGGGGTATTACAGTTCGCGATCTTGCTCAAAGGTCAAGGAAGAATCGTCGGCATGTGGCTGATATTGTGCCGGTGTCAGCCAAGAAGCTACCGTCTGCCAAAAGTCGCACGTTGATTCCGTAAGAACATCCTGGGGGCAAGAGATGGCGCCGAGATGCGCACTATCAAGCTCTGGGAGGTACACCTGATCAGTTTGCAGAGTCCGTGAAAAGACTTCTCCAGGATTATCTGGTACGGGTAACGGAGAGGATGGCGCTGCTATAACACAGAGAGTAGATAATGTTAGCTAGAAGTCAAGAAGAAGGTGCCTGAGTTCTCGTGAATAACATCTTACCGGCGCGTTTGCGAAATCCTCTTACTGGGCCCGGTCTCTTCCTCAGTGTGGAGTACACACAGATCCGCCCACTCGCCAGACAACGAGAACACGTGGGCCGCTTCATGTCGCCTACACACCTTTAGAGGAATTCAGAAACTCGTGGGTCAAACACGGTACAACACTTGACTTTTTTTCTTGGCATCGTCAGCAACCTGTGACAGTAGATTGAGGTTCGAGGAAACATACGAGATGCATAGATCGCACACGCGAGTCCTCAAAGGCCAATTCGACGTAGACTGGCCGCCTGTGGAGGGATGGGAACTGGCCCTCGACACTGGCGTAGGCCAGTTGACGCCGATCGCGCCCCCCATCGATCTCTCTGCAGCATCGATAGTGCTAGGAAAATCGAGATCAAAATCACAGTTCATGGTTCGGAAGATATTGCTGTCCGATGATTCCTCGAAGTCAGAGACAGTGACAAGTTTGTGATCAGATATCAGGCAGACAGGCGTATGAATCAATTGCTTGTCTGTCTCCAAGGTCAAAGCGGGTCTTTTCAACTAATTGCAGGGTTGCGGTACACGTAGCAGAGAGAGAAGGTCGTAAAGCCGCGATAGTACTCAGTAAACGATGTACCTCAGCGACACTGATGTAGCTAGCTAATCCACCAGTCTCTCTTACTAATCAGTGGTAGCGACACTTACTCAACCATATGTTCTGGTGGTCGGATCCACCACTCCATAGCGGGAGCAGGTGGCAAACTCCGGCACCCAATGCGAAAAGCCCGGCAGTTCCGGCCAGGTTGCGTACTAAGATCGGAGAACGAAACGATGGACAGAAGTAAACAGGCGTTTAGAAGCCGCGTGTACAGGGTGACATAGTCAGCAATCTTTATTTGTTAACTGAGTCATAACGACTGAAGGCCGAAGGCTTTACCTAACGGGCGCAGAGTCTGCGGCATCCTCTCAGAGGAACTCATCGGGCCTAGAGCAACGGAAGAGGCAGCTTATCGCGATGACTAAGCGGAATGCTCTCAAAGTTTGCGGGCTCAAGTTTTTGCTCTGGACGAGGAGGGACTCCGATGTCCTCGACCGTAACTATCCATACGGAAAACTGGGGGCCATGGCTCTGTTGGAAAGGCGAGTGGTGCCATGCCGCCTTTCAACACTCTCATTTTCCCGTTTGACCGTTTGGAAATAACTATGCGCTGAATAAACGGCGGTTCAATACTTCAGCGCTCCTCCTAAATAAAACCTCGGACCTTAGGAGGCTCTGATTGCCGCACAAAGCATCCTAAACTTGTCAAAGGTTAGTGCTCTGGTTAGAGTTCGAACTGGCCACCTGTACGTTGACTTTCGCCAACCAAACTTACACAAAGTAAACTTCACATAATTCCTCCCGAGGACCCCGCGAAATTACCCCGCATTCATCCAACCCATACGCTGACCTCCTGTCCTTATTCTCTTGTAATCTGTTGAACCGTTGATTGATTGATTGAACTGTCTGTCTGGGGCCTTTCTGATGCAGCCTAGCTAATCTCTAAAAGAGGGGTAAAATATCATGTGACTCTTCCATTTTGGGAAGAGCAGCTCCTTTAACCAAAATGCCCTGCTAATTGGCACCCGGCGGTTTGACATAATCTAAGACTATAACAAGCTAAGTCTTTATAGTCTTATTATATTAAGGTTGCAAATAATATATATAGCTTATTACTTTACTTCCCTTACCTATGTTTTATACTTATATAAGTACTTATAAGTTTTCTTAGGTATAACAGCTTTTAAAAATACTTTATATAATTTATTTAACTACTTATAAATATTAAAGACTTATTATAAGTCTTTAAAAATATTAATCTCTTTTTATAGCTAGTAATTATTAAAAAATACATAAAACATAATTATTAGATATATTATTTTATAATTAAAAAAGGATAAATATATATAGGCTATTTTACTTTTTAATTTAATAGTATTATTAGTTAAGTTAGCTTTTTAATATATAAAAATTTTAATTATTAAATTAACTTTTATATTTTTTTTTAATTGAAAATATTAATAAGCTAAATAATAAGTAATAAGCTAAATTAAATGGTTATAAGCTATAAATATTATAAATATATTAATATAGCAATTAAGCTATAAATAAAAGGAATTAAGAGCTAGGTTAAATAATATGTTAATTAATATATAACTTAACATATTACTAAATAGGCTTTAGCTAATCTTTTAATATATTACTAATTTAAATAAGGGTAAAATTAATAATATATTAAAAATATATATAAAAAAAAGTTATTAATATAATAATAATCTTTCTACTTAATAATTTTAATTCTTAATATCATTAATATTATAAATATATTAATGTATACGATAAGCGAGCGAGACAGACAAGCGAGCGAGACACCCTACTTTTCACCTTAAAGGCAGATTTTTAAATAATTCTTAAAGTTTCAAATTAAACTTAAAATAGCTAAGATCCTAACAACATACATATAAGTCCTAAAATAAGCTATGGGAAATTTCTTAAATTTTAAAAAAAATCCTATATAGCTATAAACTTTAAAATATATTTACACTGTAATTTACACTGTATTTTAAGGTTTTCTACATAAAATAAAATAATCAAAAGTCTTTAAAAAATACTTTATTATATAATAACCTATACTATTATAAGAAATAATTTTCTTAGATTTTTAGCTATTTTATTTAAGTATTAAGAAGCTATAGGGTAAGCTACTTTTTGCTGTATAGTATACTGTCTCGCTCGCTTGTCTGTCTCGCTCGCTTATCGTGTACGTTATACTAAATTACATTTAAGCTTGATTTTAAAAATTAATTTATATTAATTATAATTAATTTATTTTAAATATTTCTTTAAAAAATATTATATTTAGAAATGTTATAAATAAACTTATTAACTTATTAATATAGTATATAGTATCTTAACTTAATTTAAATAAGTATCTAATTATAGAGAAAAAGACTAGTAGTCCGAGAACCGCTCTCCAAAGTCCAGAGTCAGCTCGTCTCACATATTTGAACACATAATACAGACCAAAAAAAGACGAACTTACTAAGCCTTTTCTTGTTTATGTTTCCGTTGAAGGGGCCCAAGATGTCAACCACTGCAGACAGGACGGACTCGCACACTGGTCTTTCATTCCGCCCATACAACACATGGAATAGGACCCCGGAGGGTGTCTTGAGCATTACTCTGCGACCACCTCCGGGATACGGGGGCGAGATCTGGGATCGCAGCGCCTTCAATGGCTACAGCTTTATCGAAGTCATCTTGTGTCAAGGCAATACAGGCCCATCCATCAAATGCGGCAATGCCGGCTGGAGCTTTGCGAGCGACGTAACAGTATGGATCTTTGCTGTAGCCACGATAAAGGACTATGTCGTTAGAGCGCCATGCCTCAACTAGGCCGAAGTCAACGGCAAATTTCTCCAAATCATCAAGATCTGGGTGCTCAAAATATACGTGGGAAACCCGTTCGAGCTGGATCTTGGAAGGATTGTTTTGAACCTCGCAAGCTCGAAGAGAAGCAATGATCAACAATCTATCCTACTTGGAAATTGAGATAGAACAGGGGCGCTACAAGAACGTTTTTGATGGTTTAGATGTTATCTATGGTAATATCCGACGACGACAGTAGCTATTAATTCTGATGACTTCGAAATGGTGCACTGGGCTGACTGTTGCAGGAGGATGAAAACTGAAGAATTCGTCGCGGCTTGAAAGGAGTCGGAATACTTCTACGTACTCCGCTAGGAGGTAATGCTCGCTGACGTTGAGGACAGTGTAGCTGTCTCCATTTTGAGTTCCGCGGAGGATCTCCAGGTTGAATATTGTCTAACGAGTCACTAATCCGCTCTAGCTGGTTCTAGAGCACCGAGAATACGCTAGCTCTAATCCATACATTTCTTCCGCTGCACTAACGTCTCGCAACCACCATCCCACAGCAAAGATTGGGCTTTTGGGTATATACTCTTTCCGCCGCGGAGTAATTTACCATGTAGGGAATTAATGAATGGCCGTTGTGCGTTCTATTATCTCATGGACTAGCCGGGAGTAATCACGAGGCCGTTACTTCGGAGGTAGCCTGCGTCCACATGTCAAACAATTGTACCTCAATATTGTCATTCCGAGTCACGAGTCAATTATTCCAGAAAGTAATATCCAACCATGATATTTGCATATAAGGTCACTCTTAATTGTATTTGCATCGTTTACCCGACCGTGTATGCGTACTGATCCTGACAAACGCTGATAATATTGACACCATCTAGATTGCTCAGGATATCTCATTCCTCATAATCCTCTTCAAGCCATCGCCGAAGCTCTACGTGGCAACAATGCCAGCATCATCAGCAATAGCACCAAAGAGTCCATGGATTCATCCCAGCCCGCACCTGACGCGCCTAGACGCATTCTGAAGACTTATCAACCGCAAGTACGACGTGAACTTGACCAACTACACCGAGCTGCACAAGTGGTCCGTTGACGAGATCGAGTCCTTTTGCCACGACATTTGGACCTTTTGCGGCCTTGTATACACCAAGCCTCCGACAGCCGTCGCCGTTGGCATCGAATCTATGTGGCCACGGCCACGATGGTTCCCAGGTGCCCGGCTTAACTACACGGAGAATGTACTGATTAAAGGTCTAGCTGCCCACCCGGATGCGGTTGCTGTATCAGCGTGTCGCGAAGGGGGAACTGAATGGCGCTATCTAACGTGGATGGAGCTCCGCCGCCATGTCGCCTTGTACACGAGTGCCTTGAGACACGTGGGAGTCAAGCAAGGGGATCGCGTAGCTAGTAAGTTGGATGACCATCGTCACATGCTAGGAGTTCAAGGTGAAGCTGACCGCGAGTTATGTAGCCGTGGCGACAAATTCGGTCGAATCGCTCCTTATACTACTTGCCGCCGGCAGCGTCGGAGCCATCTTCTCGTCCACTGCCCCGGACATGGGACCTAAGGGTATCATCGAGAGATATGCTCAGATCCAACCCAAAGTCTTATTTGTCGAATCCACGGTTCTGTATGGGGGACAGAGGCGGAACCAGCGAGAAAGGCCCAAGGCGGCCGTTGGAGAGCTAAAGAAACGGGTGCAGCAGCTAGAGCTTGTTGTTGTCATGACAGGGCCGGCCTGGAATGATACAGGCGTGTAAGTGTGCAGTCACGGCTCCTTGATACAGAGAAAGCACCTCGATTGACATGAGACACAATAAGTATCCACCTGAATGACTTTCTCAACGCCGAATCCCTTCCACTGGAGTTCGCCCAACTTCCATTTGACCATCCAATCTACATCCTTTACTCGTACGTCTATCGGTGCTTTTGACCCTAGAAATCGAGCTCATATTTTTCCTAGCTCCGGCACCACAGGGCCGCCGAAATGTAGGCTGGTTCTTGTATTCGTTGATTCTAGGGCTTGCGTGGATCTGAAGAGACATAGTCCGTGACTTGTTGAAGGGCAACTACTGACATTATCTACAGGTATCTGTCATGCTGGCGATGCCGCCCTCCTTCAACAGAAAAAGGACTTGATTCTTGGTGCCGAACTGGGAGAAGACTCGACGTACTATCAGTATACAACAGTTGGTGGACGAAACGGCCTTCTTCCTTGCCAATAGGCCTTGTATGGCTAATAACTTGAATAGATTGGCTGGATGATGTGGAATATGCAGGTCGCTGCTCTAAGCATTGGGTCGAGAATCGTTCTATATGACGGCAGTCCGCTCCATCCCTCGCCATCATTCCAAGTCCAACTCCTGGAACAGCAGGGGTACGTCTAACCTTGCCACCCACTAAACGTCCATAGTTCCTTCGCAAGTCACAAACAGATCGCTGATATGCCGTTGTGAAGTGTCACTCACTGGGGTACAAGCCCAAAATTCCTCGCGGCGCTTAGGCATAGTCTTCGTGAAGCATAGCCTCCGATGCAGAGCCTCCAGGTAGCAGTAGTGTCCGGGGCACCCCTTCCAACGGAGACGAGCCACTGGTTCTACGCAATGTTCCCTAAGCAAGTCGCCCTCCAAAGCAGTTCAGGAGGGACTGATCTAGCTGCAGGCAGTGAGCAAGACCCCCTAGTATCCCCCTGTCCTATAGTAAGTGCACCTGCTGATCATTACCTGCGGGCACGCAGTTGTTGGAGGCAACCTCATCGTTCCTCTTCACGGACCCCAGCTCGCCGCTCCGAGCCTCGGCATGCGGGTCGAGATCTGGGACCAGAGCGGCAGAAACATCGAGGATTCGGGCCTGAAAGGAGACCCTGTTATTACGAAGCCGTTTTTCAGCATGCCCGTCACATTTTGGGGTGAAGGGGGTCACGAGAAATATCGCAAGGCATATTTCGATGTCTTCCCTGGCATCTGGTGCCATGGCGACTTCATGTCCAGGGATCTTAAGACTCAATGCCACATTATCCACGGTCGTAGTGATGGGGTGCTGAACCCGGGAGGTATGGCATCTGATAAAGAACAAATCTTTCGAGTACAGTGTAGACTGACCATGATGGGTGATTCAAGGTGTCCGGTTTGGCACGGCCGATCTTTACAACGTCCTTCACAAGTTCCCCCAAGTCGAGGATTGCATTGCTGTCGGACAGCGCCGGCCCAAGGACCACGACGAGCGCGTGCTTCTCTTTCTCAAAATGAGGGACAATACCCAGCTAGAGGACTCCCTGCGTGTAGATATCGCGAAGACCATCAGGAAAGACTTGAGTGGGCGGCATGTTCCAGCATATATGTTTCAGGTTCGGGACATCCCATACACGCCGAACGGGGAGAAAATCGAGAACCTCGTTAGAGACATGGTGTGTGGGAAGAGGGTCAGGGTCGGCGGCACGGCGGCAAACCCGGAATGCCTGAGGGAGTATGAGCAGTATTTTCATCTGCCGTTGGTAGAAGATAAAGCCAAGCTCTAACGTTGGGTATGCAGCAGCACCCTATGAGCATAGATTTCGTAGAGCAGAATGCTATAAGGAGATCCTAGGTAGATGCAACTGGGCGAATATACTATTGAGAATTAGACTATGGTATTGCATGCATAAAAACAGCATCGTTATCGTCCAGCATTTTAGCCGTCTAAGCAATTGTGAAAACAAGGATCCGTTTGAGGGTACAAGTAGTCGGAACTCGCAGCCACTTAATTTCTTTGCGTGCTCAATACTAGGAGGTTATCTTTTATGGGACGAGTCTTGCTTAATTCATCGATAATCACAGTCGCGAGAGCGATGACGTCCTAGCTATTGAGAAAATATGGACTTCTCGCCAAGATCCAGGTTTGTAATCTCAATCCTCCATGTAGTGGGTGACAAGTTGGGGGGGAGTGTTGTGGACATGCCATTCGTGATCACTAGGATCCCGGAGTATCCAGCGTTTAGGCCGTCATTAGCGCGGAGAAACTCTATGCGCTAGTTCCTCCGGCGCTAATCCTATGGGATTGATGATAGGCTGGCTCCATGGTGGTGAGTTGGAGTCATGTAACCCTACAGGAGAATCTTGTTCCCCCGACTCCAGATGTAAGACCACTCCAGGCGACGATGCGGCTTTCTTGGCCACGGCGCTTACCACTGCATCGGGTCGCGACGACCACCAGATATATGTCGGCCGATGTTCGCGGTTCGGACAGGATTGTTGTGTAACAAGAAATCAGAAGACGACTTATAATCCGCCTGCTGACGGCTTGAACACTATCGCAATCAAGTTATATTAGTCTCTTTAATATGGCTTTGTCTCCTTATGTATGTAAACCAAAACTCGAGTTCCGTTAAGAAGATATGCTGAAACTCGTAGTCGTGGCCACTCTGGTGGCGCCTGCTAATCCTCCTCAACCTTAGCTTCTATAATATGCTCGGAAATGTCTTTGCTTCGGGCATAACGCCTCTCTTCGGGCTCATTATGCAGGAGTTCCACTGCACTGAGAATGAGGCATCGCAGCTCGGCACGTACGTCTTACTTACCTTGGGCCTCTCGGTATGTGAAAGATTCCACCTGTACAATTGCCGATGGCAATCCCCCATCAGTCTCCTTCGATTCGCGCTAACACCGACGCCGCTCAGAACTTCATGGCTCTTCCTTTTACCTTTCTTATCGGCAAGCGCTACACAATCATCGTCTCTGTCACCGTCTTCCTTGCCGCCAACATCTGGAGTGGTGAGGCGCAGTCCTACCAATCCCTTCGAAGCGCCCGTATCCTAGGCGGAATGGCCGGCGGCCTGATTGAGGCTCTCACTCCGACCATACTCGCCGAGACGTTCCCAGAACACCATCTCGCCAAGGCCATGGTGGTCTACGTCGGGTTCCTCGCCGTTGGCGCAGCGCTTGGTCCTATAATTTCCGGTGCTATAGCCAAATGCTTGGGAGAGTGGAGATGGTTCAACAGGGTCATGTCCATCGCCGTGGCTGTGAATCTCGTCTTCAACACCCTTATGCTCCCGGAGACGACGCACGACGGCATAAGCCTCAATGGAGGGGCGGTCTTAGGGGGCCAGAATGAAGACGAGGTGCCGAGGAAAACCGAATGCAAAGCCGAGGAGAACAAGATCGAGAACGTCACGAGCACCGCGAAGACCATATCGTCGGCTGAACAAGTGACGCTCAAGAGGGAATACGTGCGGCGATCGTTCTCCCTGCATTTCGTCGAGCTGAACTGGAAAGCGTTCCTCATCTCCTTCTTCCAGCCCCTTAAGCTCATCGTCCTGCCTCAAGTCCTTGTTACTGTTATCATATTCGGCCTGACCATCGGCTGGACTGTCATCGCTTCTATCCTCATCTCCCTCATCTACACTCAGCCACCCTTACTCTGGGATCCGTTATCTATTGGCCTACTCAATGCTGGTTCGCTGGTTGGTATTATCATTGGCCTCCCCATTGGCGGTGCCCTCGCCGACATGCTCTTCAACCGTGCAACCCGACGATCCAACGGCGTGACAAGCCCAGTGACCCGTCTCCCCGCCCTCTTGCCTGGTGCCTTGCTCAGTCCTGCTGGCTGCGTAGTCATGGGCTTTGCGCTACGAGACCCGGATAATTACATCGTGGTATGTGTGGGATGGGGTATGCTATGTTTCGGACTTACCGGCTCGGCCAACGTGCTTCTCACATATGCTATCGACTGTCTGCCGACACGGGCCGCACATATCGGCGTCCTGGCCAACGTGACAAAGAACAGCATCGGGTTTGCTGTGTCGTATGGTGCTGTGAACTGGTTCCGGAAGATGGGCCCCGTGGACCAGTTCTCCACCATGGCGGGCATACTATGGGGGTCATATCTCCTCGTGATTCCCCTCTGGGTGTTTAGTGGGATGTTGGAGAGATTCGGGGCAAACTTTGGGTGAGTGGTGAAGGACGTAAGCGGGTACTATGTCAGAGCGAATAGCTGGAGTCTACTTAGAGCCGCCCGTGGAGACCGGGATCTGGATGAGCCGTTCATCAATGGAAGACCGACTCTCGGTCACTCATTGGATAGAGAATCAAGAGCCTCTCCTTATTCCTACCCATCCGCATCTGTGATATTCCTACTGGGTTCTGGCCCAGGTGGCTTGGCTATCGTAATGCGACGAATCTTAAACATAATCAAGTGTTATATAAAAAGTCGCTTAAGCCGTAGCATTGTCTAGCAGGATAGCATGGAGATGGGAAAACCTGGGGGCTTTCATCGAGCACACGTAGACACAGACACAATCCATCATTACCCTCGCTCAGATTTCAATTCTATAGAGTATCGAATAACCTCAACCTCCCCTGATGATGATGTTGACATCGATGGAATCTCTTGGCGGTTCAGATCACGTCGCACCCCGTGTATTTCAGTCTTGAAGTCCATTATTGAATATTCCCACATAACGCTATACCTTCGGGCTACTTAAAATCTGAATTGGAATACCTGCAGCTTAAATGAAAATCATTTCATTGTCTAGCTAGCACTCCCTATGCGTTGCTGATTGGAGGCTAATGAATCCCTTATTCAAACATAGTCTTATTTGTCAACACACTGACGTTGGGGATCTCCACTTCAACAATGTTTCCGTCCCTCAAGAGACGGCGAGGGTTCTTCAAAACTCCAACACCTGCTAGCGTTCCAGTCATGACTGCTCTCCCAGAAGGGATAGTCATGCCTTTTAATTGCTCAAGCACCGATTAGTTGAGTGCTGAAGCAGGAGAGGATATTATAAAGGCACGAATTGGCAACATACCTTGGCTCATCCAACTTAATATCTCGGCTGGTTTCCATATGAGATCTTTCATAAACTCTGCGTCTTGCACAGTCTCTCCATTTAGACGTGTAATGAGTTTGAGGCGTTCCCCTTGCCCAATGACCTCCGGGCGTACATGCGTTGGCCCGATAGGGGCAAACACGTCGAAGGCCTTGGCAAAGTAGAATTGACGCCCACGCTGTTCCGGAAGCTGATACAAACAGTATGATATGTCATTGCCCACAGTGTAGCCAAGGATGCATGGCTGGCCTTCCTTTGCGTTCACGTCGCGACATGCCCGAGAAGTCATGAACACAAGTTCTTCCTAGAACCACTTAAGGCTACGGGGAACTGTGATACTCCTCGGAGAACCTCGCAAGCTCCACCGGAAACGCGGGTCATCGGCAGACCCGGCCTCACATTTGCGCCGCCGATTCTCCGACGCCAGGGGGGAGAATGAGGGGAAAATCCGCCGGCGGATTCTAGAGGCTACCATCGGGATGGCGTCAATGCGATGACTTACGACCAAAGTTTCGGGCTGTCACACTAGATGGCGGCTAACTGTACGTGACTTGGTGGTGGGATGGATCTCGGCCTACCTCAGCACGCCTCTTACTCAGCGGCATGTATCTACGATTCGGAGATAATTATGTGCAGCTCTTTGAACCATGTACAGGGGCTCTCGAAACCGAGTCAACTCGGCGAGTTGCAATTTACAACGCAGACATACTTTCTTTTAGCCCGCAGCTCGCCGCCATTTCTGGAACTTCAGCATACGCATTATCACGCCTGAACATGAGCGCTTGCGAGCTTTCCGCAGTTCCGGCCAAGGCGGCGATTAAAGAAATCGCAACGGAAGACAAAACAGAAACAAATATTCGCAGCAGCAAAAGCATCATTTCATCAAAACACGACAAGAGATACTTGGCGCCCGCCAAAGTCAAGAAGCGGGCAGCATGGGCATGCAAACACTGTCGAGCTCGCAAAGTGCGCTGTGACGTCGTGTACGGCTCGCCATGTCGAAATTGCAGATGGGACAAGATGGAATGCAGTATCCAAGAAACTCGCTGGCAAACGTGAGTTCTTGCCATCCATCTCCCAGTTCCCTTATACATTCACAGCCAATGAGAATAAGGGGGCGTTACAGTTAAAAGAGTTGATGGCTGACGTTTCTTCACCCCCAGAAACCACGTCTCCATCGCCAACAAAGTCACGGGAGCGGAAGTACAGAACCGCCCTGTGGCCAATGTAATAAACCTCAACAGCGTTGTAGAGGTTCGAAAGTCGAGAGGTGCTGCTATCGGTTCGTTTACTGGCCTTGCTGCAAATAAGGTATCAAATGAAGCGGCCGCAGCCAAGGAAGCAATCAAGCATGGTGCACCAAGCCTCGGCGACCAGGTGCCCCCCGGTTTCAAGCCTCTTCCAACCAAGGTTGCCGCTGAAGATGTAAGATATCTCCGGTCCAAGGGCGCTCTGTCGGTGCCAAGTGTGCCGTTACAGAGTGCTCTGCTCCAAGTCTACGTGGAATATGTCAACCCGCATATGCCTCTGGAGTTGTTTCCATTCCTGAACGCCACAAACGCCGGCGATGGCCGGGCCGGAAAGGCCAGCCTGCTGATGTACCAGGCCGTCATGTTTGCTGCCACAGCATTTGTCGATATAGAAGTTCTGCTGGAAGCCGGCTATGCGACCCGCAAAGCTGCGAGGAAGTCATTCTTCCAAAAGTCCAGAGCAAGTAGACCATCTCTCATCCCAGAGTTTTAGAGGCTGACAAAACGACTTTGTAGTTGCTGTATGATTTCGACTGCGAACCGAATCAGTTGGTGGTTGTGCAAGCTCTTCTCCTGATGACATACTGGTACGAGACATCAGAAGACAAGAAAGGCGCCTGGCATTGGATAGGTATGGCCATATCGCTGGCATACACCCTGTGCCTCCATCGAGATCCGAGTACCACGAGTATGTCGGCAGCCAGACAGAAGCTGGGGAAACGAATATGGTGGTCATGTTTCATGCGTGATCGCCTCATCGCTCTAGGTATGCGGCAGCCTAGCCGTATACACGACGAGGATTTCGATGTTCCGATGCTAGAGGAGAGCGACTTCGAGATTGAGGTCTTTCCCAAGGGTAATAATATTCTCCTAAGACAATGCGCCGTCGTCCGAGATACTACGATGCAGCAGGAGCTTGCGGCATTGTTTATTGCAAAAGTTCAGCTGTGCATCTGCATCGGCCACGTGCTAAATTCCATGTATTCAGACGATATGCGGGATAAGGCCATTCCAGAAAACACTACCATCAACACCTGTATGCTATTACCAAATAAGAAGCTTGATAATACGGAATGGTTCCTATCTATCAACCTCGAACTTGTGGCTTGGGCCGAGGCCTTACCTCCCTGTTGCCGGTACACACCTCTGATGCCGCTCGATATAAAGAACAGTAATGCGACTATCGCGGTTCAACGAACTTTGTTACACATGTTGTACTATACCATAGAGTTGACCTTGCATCGTCCGCAGCTCTTGCCACCGTCGCCCACTCAGGTCATGACTACCCCGAGCGTAGTCCAGGGCGTATCCCGTCTACATGTTCGGAACGCCACTATATATATTACACGCATGGCATCGGAGCTACACCATCTCCGACTTGACAGGTTCCTCCCCGTCACTGGTGTGACAGTCATCCTGCCCGCCATGATGATACAGCTCCTTGAGATGACAAACCCTGCTCCGCGGGCCCGTGTTCTTGCAGCCCGCGGGTTCCAGCAGTGTTTGTGCGTGATGGAGAAGCTCCGCGAGATCTACGTTGCTGCAGACGATATCGTTGGCTTCCTAGACGCCGCGCTGCGCAAGCTTGGCATCGACGTCAACGAGTTAGCCGCCACAGACCTCACCAACCAAGACCTCAAATTTGCCGAGACCGACTCTGGCGGGCAAACTCTGCGGGCAGAGCTAAACCTGGACTTGGCCAATTGTGGTTCTACGTCTTCGGCCGTTGGCATATCCAAGGAGACCAGCTTCCCGGATCTCATATATTGGATAGAGCAGAAAGTCATCGACTGGAACGACGTCACTGGCACTGAGATTGATCTAGACAAGTAGCTGTGGTTCCTGCCTAAGGAGACTTAATAATAAAACAAGGCATATAATAGAACTGTAGCTTTTAGTTAAAATTAATAGTAAATAATATGCTAAATATTATTTTTCAAGTAATATAATAATTACCTTTTTATTTACCTAAAATAAGCTTATTAGCTTATTATTTAATTAAGTTTTTTATATAATAAATTTTTATTTTAATATAATATATTTAAATAAGAGTATATATAATAAGACTAAGATTATATAATTAAAATAATATATTAATAAGGTTTTAAACTTAATATAATATAAAATATAATAACTTTAATATTAAAAGCTTAATAAATTATATAATTATTACTTTAAATTTTAAAATTTAATTAAATAAGTAAACTTAGTTTACAAGTATAGTTAAGATATTTACCCTATTTATTATTGTATTTATTAGTTAAGCTGGTAATATTTAATTTATATAGGAGGATTTTTTTATGCTAGCAGACCATTGGTTAGCTGATGTTTCTTAACCTAACTAGGCAATATTTATTAAAAAACAGGCTATATAAACCCTATAAAGATAGGGAATGTATATAAAATAGTCCTTAATTAGGGCTATTTAGAACTATAAATTATATGAAATTAGGATTTTATTTTAATTTTGTATTAAATCTTTTATTTAATTGGGAAAAAACTAATATAGTAACCCCTTGTCTGGGCTAGGCTAAATTGGCTTAGATAACTTGAAATTTTCAGCTAATAAGAGCAGGCCAGGTAAACCTCGGTAAAATAGTAAAGTTATCTATAAAAAAAGGGCTATTTAAGAAGTTTTTTTTATAATTTTATAATTTTTATTTTATTTTTAAATTTAAGTTTAAAATAAAAATAAAAGGAAGAAGAAGAAGAAGAATAATAATAATAATAATAATAATAATAATAGCCCTTTATAGCTTATTAAAAAATAATTATTAATAATAAGCTTTTATTTTTTATAAGCTATTATTTCTTTCCTTTTTTTTATAATAATTAAGTAATATTTACCTATAAGTTTTTTATTTTAATTATAATTAATCTTAAGATATTTTTAACTTTACCTTAGTTTTATAATTATATATTAGTAATTAAGTTAAGATAATATACTTTACTTTAAAATAAACTTATATTAAATACCTCTTATATTTACTTAACTTAAAGTTATAATTAGTAATATATTATTAGGCCTAAGTAGTAAATTAATATAAACTTTTACTTAATTCTTAAAGATTTTATATTTAAATACTTATTTTTATATAACTTTAATTTCTTAAATATTAAGATTATATAACTTATTAAACTTTATAAATTAAAAATATATTTTAATTTCTTATAATAATTTAATTTATATTTATAAACCTTATTACTTAATAATAATAATAATAAAAAACTTTAAAGTAAATTTATTATATAATTATTAATATTATAAGTTTATATATTAATATTATTATTAAGTAATTAATAAGTATTTTCTTTATATTTCTACTTATTTTAAACTTATTATATTTATTAATAAATACTTATTTTAATTATTATATTACTTATATCTTATTAATATTATAAAATTTCTTATATAAACTTAATTATTAATAAGCTATTAATATATATAATAGTTTTAAGATTACCTTACTTATTAATAATATATTAAGTAAATTCTTTAAGCTAATTATATATTAAGGTAAGTCTTAAGGAATGCTAAGTAAAAGCCTTGTTTATAAGATATGCTTTTTAAATTAATTAAAAGTATTAATAATAATATATATATATAGGTTTTTTTAATTCCTTTCCTTAAATATAATTATAAAAGATTATATAAAGAACTTATTATATTTTAATAGCCTTTATAATATTTTTAGTAATTAATACCTTATTAATAATATATTAAAGTTAATTCTACTAACTATTTCTTTACATCATCAAGCTACTATCTATACAAGTTCTTAACTAAAGTCCCCAGTCTAAGGTCCTTAATAAATCCCTTATCACTTGCCTCTACAGGCCTTCCTACTATAAGGGATTACTCTAGCTTCTGCAGCAGCTTAATCTCCTCCTTAAGGTAGCCTTTAGAAATTATTAGCTCTTTATAATAATAATATATAAGTAAGAGGACCTTATAGCCTAAAATAGCTTACCTAATAAAGGTAATATTATCCTCTTTATCTTAAGTCTTTCTAATCTCTATTACTATATTATAGGGCTTATCCTTATATTTATAGTCTTTAAGAGCTACTATAAAATAAGGGATTAGGTCAGGCATTTTAATATAAAAGGCCTTATCCGGTAGCTGCAGGCTTCTTCAGAGCATCATGACGGTGCAGCTATGATGCTGTTAGCAGTTGCAGTCAGAAGAGGGAAAGTCAGGTCGGATGACTTACTGCATGATAGATAATTGAAGCGTGGTATCCTTTTAGGTAGGTTATAGGAAGTAGGTTGTGGCTAGCTAATAAGCAGGGCTTTTTAGCTGGCATATATGCAGCTAGGTTTAGGCTATAATTAAGGCAGCTAATTATAATAATTTAACTTAATAAAGCTTTACTAGCTATAAGGGCAATAAATATTTAAACTATATTAGATTTTAGAAATACTTAGATATATCTTTTAAGGCTAACTTATAAACTTAAAAAAAAAGAAATTAATAAAAATTTTAAAGTTAAAATTTTATATATTTTATTATTTTTAATTAAAAATACAGCTAGATTTTAATTTAACTTATTAGTTATTAAGAAATTATATACTTTTAATTATAATATATAAGATTTATAATTAATATATAAAATATAAGGTGCTTAAAAACCTCTAAGCTATACCCTGCCTTAGTATTATATACTTAATAGTTAGTGCCTTTTATTAGAGGTCTTAAGAAATATAACTATTAAGGTCTTGTTATAATTTTATTTACTTTTTAATAAAAGATAATATAAAATAAGGCATTATTATTAATAATAGCTTTAATTAGCTTAATCCCCTTAATATAACTATTTTAAAAGTATTAAGGCAATAAATTATTTTATAATTAAATTATACTTATAAAATATTATTATTTAGGTATATAATCTCCTATACTATCTTACCTTTTCCTTTTACTTAACTTATTATATACTTATAATTATTTAAGTATTCTTAATAGTAGACCTTACTTTATAATAGTAATATATTAATTTTTATAAATAAAGTAGTCTTTAAATCCTTATTTAATAAAGGTCTTTTTCCCTTTAATAAAGATATATATAATAAAGTAATCATAATAAGTAGCCTTATACCTATAATTAAATACTTTTATTTTATATTAATAAATAATATATTTAAAATAGATTAAATTATATTAATTTTAGTTAAAAGTCTTATAAAACTTAGGGTTAGGTAGTAAGGTTTATTAACTTCTAGGGTTATTAATATTATTATTATTATTAATATTAGATTACTATTAAACCTAGAAAACTAAGGCTATTTTAATAATATGATAAATATAATAGTAAAATATATTAATAGAAGCTTAAGGGATAGCTATATAAAAATTAAGAGTTTCTAAATTAACTTAATTAAAAGATATATAAGAAATAAAGGAAATTAAATTTAATTAAGTTCTTAAAGAGTATATTATTTAGTCTTTTTATTAAGATAATATAAATAACCTTAAAAGATTTATTTTATAATATTAAAATAATATTTATTTCTTTTATAAACTTATTTATAATAAGTAACTTATCCTTTTTACTATAATTTTACCTTTAGCTTATAACCTTTTTATTTTTACCTTATTTATATATTTATTATATTTTAAATATTAAGATTTTATAGGTTACCTATTTATACTTATTTATTATTTAATATATATTTCTAAAGTTATAATAGACTTTATTAAGTTATAACCTTAAAATCCTTTCTTTTTATTTATATAATAAAAATAAGATATTATATAAATAGGAAGTTAATAAACTTTTATCTTATTAATATTAATATTTTTTAAGATAAATTAATAATAAATAAGAAGAATTTAATTAGATTAATTATTTTACCTTATAAATAAAACTCTTTTTTAGTATTAATTATAATCTTTATTAATTATATTTATTTAATTTTAAGCTTAAAGTCTTAGAATTAAAAACCTTATTTATATTTACAACCTTTTTTAAATCTAATTATTAATACTTTGTATTATTACTCTACTTATAACTATTTATAATACTATTATACTCTGTAATTTAAATACCTAAGCTACTTTTTTAATACTATATAATATAAATTAGGCAGTTAATAATACTAAACTTAAGCTTTAACTTAATATTACCTCCTTAATACTTATAAGCCTTAATTCGTATATTAATAATAAGATTAATTTAATTAAAATACATTAAATAAGAGGTACTTTATTACCTACTTAATTTTTATTATAATAAAAGTATTAGTAATTTTTATTATTATAAAGAAAAGCCTTATATATATTATATTAATAATTAATTTAGCCTCTTTTTATATTATTATTATCTTTCTTAAAAGGCCTTTTCTTTAGCTTTTTAACCTTACTTAGCCTTATTAAAAGCCCTAATAAGTAAACTATTTTAACCTTTTAGTATTAAATATTTATATCTTTCTTACTTATAATAAACCTTTTTAAATTTAAAAATAGCCTTATTTAATAAATATATATATTAAGAATATTATAATATAATTTACAAGCAAGTTAGCCACCTAAGCAAGTTGGCCATAAATCTTAGCCTTTATATTTTAATTACTAATAAAAACACTATAACCTATTTAATGAATTAAAACTAATTACTACCCTTATTCTTAATAACCCTAATTACCTCTTAGTAACTCTTTAAATTATATCTGGCCTTATTATAAGTCTAATAATATTAAATACCTAGTCTAATTAACCTTCCTTAATTATAACTTCTTAATAATTTAGCTACTACCTATATATTTATATCTATTTAATTAATTTAACTTTAACTAATCCTTATAGTTATCTTACTGCTATTTTATAATTAGGT